TCAGCAGGACCTTGGGGACCACTGCATGGGTGTTGGGACCCCTTAGATGAAGACAAGGAGGACATGGAGGTCAAGGACCTCTCTAAGACCTTGGAGACACCCTCGGGGACCCCTCTGGATGTTAGGGACCCCTTAGATGAAGATGATGTGGACATGGAGGTGAGAGGACTTCTTTAAGACCTTGGGGGCCCTTTTATGGGTCTTGGGGACCCCTTAGATGAAAATCAGGAGGACATGGAGGTCAGTGGACCTTTCTAAGGTCTTGGGGACACCCTGGAGGACCCCTTGATGGCTGTTAGGGACCCCTTAAGAGATGAGAGGGATAAAGAGGTCAGGAGAGCTCTCTGAGATCTTGGGGACACTTTTAGGGACCTTGAGGAGATGGAGGACACTTCCACCTTAGGGAGGACTTTGTGGACTTTAAGGACATGGTGGACCTTTTGGGGACCCGTCTGTGGGTGTTGGGGACCCCTTAGATGAGGACAAAGAGGACATGGGGGTCAAGGGACCTCTCTAAGACCTTGAGAACACCCATTAATCTTGGGGACATGCTGAAGGACCATAGCGATTTTGGAGACCCCTTAGATGAAGATGAGGAGGACATGGAGGTTGAGGGACCCCTGTGGGGACCTCAGGGACCCCCTTGAGGACCTTGGGATCCTCCTCTAGATTTTAAGGCCTTTTTCCATGCTGAAGATGAGGCCAGGGAGGTGGGGGAGCCCCATGAGGATCTTGGGGGTCTCCTCTACATGTTGAGGCCCTTTTTGATGATGAAGACAAGGCTGGGGAGATGGGGAGCTCCCCATAAGGACTTGGGGACCCCCTTGGGGACCTGCTTGAGGACCCTGGGGACCTCATCTAGATGTTGAGGCTTTTTTTGATGATGAAGATGAGGCTGGGGAGGTGGGGGACCCCAATGGGGACCTCAGGGACCCCCAAGGTGGCACACAGGGTGGTGGCACAAGGGGAGGAGGCCCACATTTGGGGAGGAAGGCCCAGTTTCAGGGCACCCCCTGGGTGACAGGGGAAACCCCCGCAGGTTATGGGGCATCCCCACAGTGTCAGGACAGGGCTGCTATGGGAGGGGTGCCTGGTTTCAGGTTGATTTCACGGGGTTTTGGGGTCGTGACTGTAGCGAAGGCAACGCACAATAAAGGCGATGAAACCGCTCCAGCATGGTGAGGACCCAGGCGTCCAGGCCCCCCGGTATCCCACAGACCCAGGTGTCTGTGCCCCTGTATCCCATAGGCCCAGGTGTCCGGGTCCCCCTGTATCCCATGGACCCAGATATCTGTGTTTCCCCCCC